TACATAAAATGAAGAATTTATTGGATAAAATAGGGTGATATTCTTGAGTCTTCCAAATTTGCCAGTCAGCTTGTTTAAAAGTCTACTACATGTTGTTCCTTATTGACAATCATTTGGGTCAAGGGCTGATGTGACCCTATTGGGTTGAGGTGGCTGCGAGTGGTTTGTGTGTTTAAGTGGATATAGATTTGTTGTAGTTGATGATTCTACTGGAGTGTTAAGGTATTCTGTAATGCATTTCTGGTCTGTTTTACCTTGCAGTATTGATGTCTTTTGACATTCTTTCACCAGACCACACACAAGTGCTTTTTTTTCTTCATTGTCTTGAATTATGTGGATGGTAGATTCTCTGACTAGAAGTGTGTGCAGTCGTCATTACACTGCTCCTCAAATCTAAAATTAACACCTTCCTCAATGCCATCAGAGATTCACACTTCTTATTGGCACCTGCAGCATCACTTGAATTCTTCTTGGATGCTATAGTTAATATGGTATTCAGAGATGAGATATGATGATGAAAATATCCAAAATCATTGGATAGATACACAGCAAGGTACATGACACTCCCAGAAAGTAATTGTAAACAGTTTATTTAGGTGGTAGTGCCTCTCGGAACACACAACCCTAAGGAACAACTTGGGTTGTGGACTACCAAGATTTTGCACCTAACTTGATGTTTCCATGCTTACCAAGTATGCTATCAAGAGTTTTTCAGGTGTTATGTAAGAACAGCATGCACTTTTTCAATCACGTTTAAAAAAAAATTGCTATGTTATACAGTAGTATCACTTTGTAATTGGGTTTACTGTAATTAAATTTACAAATTAAACAGGTCTGCCTTGTTTACGAGAGCCTTCTAACAGTGAACTCCTAAAAATAAATTTTTTATGTGTTATAAAAAAGTCATGGTGGTTTGGTGCCAGTAGAGATAGGTCATACTTAATAATGATCCACTCACTTTCTAACATACATTTTTACGCCTTTGTGTAAAAGTTTTCTGTATCTTCTGCATGTTCGTGAGGATTCTGATTTAGAAATTGATCTTTTTTTTTTATCTTTGGGCAGGTCTTATCTTGTTTCTGTTGATGACAGAATCACTTGCTCCATTACCTGAACAAAGTTTTTTTTTTTTGTAACTGTGCAAATGGAATACTTGTACCTCACCTGTTGAGAATAATTATGAAATTGCATTTCTAGTACTATGACAACTCTGTTTTTAAGATTAGTCATTTCAGCACAGAAGATTTTGTTTTATAGTAATATTCTTTTAGGCTTCACCACCACCAACCACCAAATCACTTTACCATTCCCCAACCACCTCCTTGTTGCAAGGTCACCTTACTGTGATAGTGAGGTTTGAGTGACCTTGCTACACATTGTGTTATCTCAATTTTACTAATTTTTGAAAAATAAAAAAATTGTTTTTAAATGCAAAAATAGATAATTGTTAGTGGTTGCTCTTCCTGTAAGTGGTTCAGTGAATCCTCACAGAAAATGGTTTTCATACTTTTAAACTGAATAATATGGAAGTGACTTAGTTTTCTAACTTTAAATTATATTACAGAAAAATAGAATAAATATGCTATTTTATACTACTTCTTATATTAAAATATCAATAACACCTGTAGTTAATCCTAGATTTCAAAATATATTCATTCAATACTAATTGATTTTAGTCAAGTTATTGTTTTAACTATCCATTTTGGTGATAAACTTGTGATGAACTAAATAAATTATCAGCTTGTTGCATACTTTCCTCAGGTAAACATTAAGTATTGCCTGAAGATTCTTCCCTCTCATCTTCCTTTCCCTTGCCTTCCTTCTTAAAGAAATGTTGACTAAAGTTTTGCAAATTTTGGATATGACAGTTTCTAATTATGCACCAAAACTATCCTAGTAACCTTACCAATATTTACATAATATAAAATAGCTTAATTTAACCCTTTCAGGGCCCATGCCGTAGATCTACGCCATGAGCTCAGCTCACTCTGATAAGCTGTGAGCGGTAAATTTGGGCCTAGATATGAGAGAATACTTCTATATGGTATGTGTGCACCACGTCAAACAAATCCTGCAGCACATAGTGCATAATGAGAGAAAAAATGAGACCGTAATTTTTTATTAAAACATCGACTTTGCAGTGTTTTTTCGTATGTTTTTTATAGTTGTATTTGCGATTTCTTGGTCTCATTTGATAGAATGGAAGATATATTACAGAAATAGAGATGATTTTGATTGGTTTTTAATGGAAATGGCTTGAAACTGAGCTCAAAATAGCAGAAATGTTAAATTTTTGCCGATGTTCAAGAGTAAACAAATGATCTCGCATGTCTAATACACGCCAGCTGGTGGGTCTAATATACGTTCACAAATGTGGTGATATTATTTATACAATTATTACAATATTGCATAACAGTAAATCTTCTGTTTTTTGGAATTCATTTGTAAAGCCTGAAAATGTAACTAATGAACAGAGGAAATGTTAGTTTAGTGCCAGGAATGCCTGCATTGTTTATTCTGGACCCTATTTTGAACTTTGCATAAAATTGGCCAAATTACCAATTTCCAATCACTTTATTTTGTAGTTGAAACAGTTGACCTGGCAATTTCTTGTGCTCAGTCAATAGAATAGAAGGAATACTAGTGAAATAGCTAAGAATTTGGTCGACTGGAATAATGTACACCTACCATCTGACTTACGACCTAGTTCGGTTCCAAAAAACCGGTCGTAAGTCGAAATGGTCGTAAGTCAAACTTTACTACTGAATATCAACAAAACATTTTATTGTTTTATTTTGGTATTTCATGTTTTACTTTACTTTTTATGTTGTTAGTACTGTATTTTATACTGTAAGGTTTAGGATAAACACTGTGTACAACACAAATAGTTGTTTATTTCCCAGAAATTTGGCATAAAAAACACGGTCGTAAGTCAAGTTGTCATAAGTTGAGCAGGTCGTAAGTCGGATGGTAGGTGTATTTGGCTTAAAATGGGAGTCAAAGTCAGCAAAATCGCCAATGCGTAAGTATCGCTGGCACATCAAAATTCACGAGGGCATAATTTCGTCAATTTTCCATCAAATTTCATACTTTTTGTTTTATTACCTTCAGAAAAAGATTCTCTACCATTTCAAAACAAAAAATAACAAAATTATTTTTTGAAAATTCTTGGACCCTGGTGTGCACTTTGAAATTTGGCCTCTGGACCCTGAAAGGGTTAACTAACCTTTCAAAGAATTTACATAACGTTAGTTAACCTTTTTACTTAGGGAGGAGAGGAGTCTGAAACTTCAGGTTGCCTAAATTCATTTAATATATTAGTTATAATCATGCATAACATTTTCATGTGTATATTGCCAATTGGGATTTCAAGTAAATAATGTGAACGTTGAGATAGCTGTACCTTTTAGGGTGCTTTTGAGGTGCTTCCACACTGCACCAGTAGTTGCGTGAAAGCTTTTAGTAAGTGTTGGTGTTGGCATGTTGGCTTAACTCATCTTTATTCTTTACTGGCTTTAGGTTCATCCTATATGGTACACCTGTTTAAGTGGAACTAATATGTTTTTTTTTTTTTTTTTTTTTTTTTTTTTTTCATTCCCCCATCACCTTATGCTTTTCTTAATTTTTTCCTGTATCATTTATTTGATGCCCTCCTTTTCTATTGAATGATGAAACATTAAATTTTCTTAATGTAATGCATGTTTGAATTTTATATTCTCATAATATCCTGCACAAATCTTCTGTACTTTATTACATCTTTTGAGTTTACTACAAAATTTTCGGTCATTTTGCTATCTTGATGTATGATTTCCTTATGTTATGTGCTCCCACACATGCTTATGGTTATGATAATATATTCGTGCTAATTGAATTATACATATGGCTGTTACTAACAATAATTGGGCTTTGTGTAACATATTTGTAAACATACACAAGCCCATAGAATTTCTGTCTGATGTTTACCTGCTCCTCTGATCCCCTCCCAAGTGGCTCTGAAGAGGAACTCAATTCTCTTTTCAATCAAAATGAAGATCTTGATCTGGATTTTATCCAGAAATAGACACCAAATCCGAGATCGATGTAGATGCTCGGCATTTGAGATTATAGTGAAAGATGTTCCTCAAGGCAAAATGAATGGCCACATTTCAGTAATGCCAGAAGAGGGAAAGCCACCTGATGTACCTATCAGGTTTTCACATCTAAGAGAAATACAGTGTTCTCTGTACCACCCTCTCTGCCTATACATACCTCTGTAACACCACCCCTCCACCCCACCCCCAAGAATGGATATATCACCTTCCCTCACAGTTTATCCAAAACTTTCAACAAAAAGGTTGTTCACAATTGATGAAGAACGAACTTACATATGAGATTCCTGTTTGCCATAGGCCAATTATATTTATATAGGGCTCAGAAATTATTGTGCTATTCTGTAATATCTTTGAGAGTCAACTTTCTCCAAATTCTCCTGACATTAAAACTAAATTCTCTATCTTCATTTTATTGCTTGATGTTTTTGTGTGTAGCATTAGTTTTGCATGAATTTTTCTGTTTATTGTAATTCTTTGGTGGTGCATGCTTTTTATTACTGTACTAATTCTTCCTACTCAAGAGTATTACAATTTAGTTTGTTGAAATTGAAACATGATATTGGAGATTAAGAGAGGTTGTGATCTCTTTCATTATAGTTTATTTTATGAAATGTAAGTCTTGCAGAAATTTGCATTCTTCTTCTCATGATTTCATATATAGTTGTAGTAGAGTTCACTCTACATATTTGTAACTTGTCCCATGTTCTTTTCTCTTCCATGTACCGTGCTCTTGGAATGTGGCTCATGTTGCATCGTCCTTTTCATCCGCCTGTCTTCTCCTCTACTACTGTGGTCACGTCATTTGTAAATACTTGGAATTGGTCTGCTGTACAAATGACTGTGTATTATCTCAAATCCTCCATCCTGTAATTGAATTGATCCTGCGTTGATTTGATACTGCTGAAACAGCCCACTGAGGCTCTGTCTGATGATTTCCTTTTCCCCATGACCTCACGCCTATCCTATGCTTCATCTCCTGAGTCTGACCTAGAGACTGGACCCGAGTCCCGAACTCCTTCAAAATCTCCCCACCGGCCCCCTCCCTCCCACAATCCATACTCAGATTCACGAGAGCCTAGAGGGCGTTTGGTCAAAAGTTCATCAGATCCCAGTTTAGCAGCACCAGAAGAAACGGAACCTAACACATACGGAGGACCACCACCATATACAGCCAGCCCTACGAGACTTGTAAGTAGTTTTTTATTGGTTTTGCTTCTAATTATCCTTTGCTAGAGCAAAAGTAGTGCATTCACAATGCAAGTATAGTGTTAAGCTTTAGCTTTTGTGAATATTTTATAATTTATATTTTATTCTAATTTATTTTTTTATCATTAATAATAAATAAATAATTTTGTCATAATTTAATTGAAAACAAATTCACAATACAGAAGACTCTAGTGTAATAATTCAGCAGAGATAGATTAAAAAAATTGTATTATGATCATTTTTGCACGGTAGCATTTCTTTTTCTTGGAATTGTCCTGAAAAATCAGAAAATAAAATTTAGAATTTGGAATGATTGAAATTTGCAGATTTCTAAATTAAGAGCCAAAAATTTCTAAGTATAATTTAGAAAAATTTCTCTCAAATGGAATTTTCAAAATAGGATGTTTTCTGAATCGTTGAATTCAGAATACTCTCTAATGTCCACAAGAGATGTGTTCCATGATTTCTTTCATGATGACTTCATGGATGCAAAATGTATATTTCAATGAGAAGAAAGAAGATGGCTTATGTACCCCCAGTGGACCCTTTATCTAAATAGCACTGATAAAATATTTTCTTATTTTTAATCAGTTGTAATATAAATAGATTATCTAACAGAATTATACTGTAAATGAGATTTATTTGCACACTTGACTTTTTTTTTTTGCTTAGCTTCACCCTTACCCTTTCAGGGTCCGTGCCGTAGATCTATGCCATGAGCTCAGCTCACTGTGATAAGCTGTGAGCAGTAAATTTGGGCCTAGATATGAGAGAATACATCTATGTGGTATGTGTGCACCACATAAAACAAATCCTGCAGCACATAGTGCATAATGAGAGAAAAAAAAACAGACTAATTTTTGATTAAAACAGCAAATTTGCAGTGCTTCTTCGTATGTTTTTTATAGTTGTATTTGCAATTTCTTTGTCTCGTTTGATAGAATGGAAGATATAGTACAGAAATAGAGATGATCTTGATTGGTTTTTAATGGAAATGGCTTGAAACCGAGCTCAAAATAACAGAAATTTTTGCCGATGTTTAAGAGTAAACAAATGACCTCACACATCTAATACACGCTAGCTGGCGGGTCTAATATACGTTCACAAATGTGGTACAGTGATGGAGTGAATGATGGTGAAAGTTTTTCTTTTTCGGGCCACCCTGCCTTGGTGGGAATCGGCCGGTGTGATAAAAAAAAAAAAAAAAAAAAAATAAAATGTGGTGATATTATTTATACAATTATTACAGTATTGCATAACAGTAAATCTTTTATTTTTTGGTTTGAATAAAAATTCATTATGTGAATAAAAAATCAAAATGGAATTCATTTGTAAGGCCTGAAAACGTAATTAATGAACAGAGGAAATGTTAGTTTAGTGCCAGGAATGCCTGCATTGTTTATTCTGGACCCTATTTTGAAATTGGAATATTTTGAACTTTGCATTAAATTGGCCAAATTACCAATTTCCGATCACTTTATTTTGTAGTTGAAACAGTTGACTTGGCGATTTCTTGTGCTCAATCGATAGAATAGAAGTAATACTAGTGAAATAGCTAAGAATTTGGTTGACTGGAATACTGTAATTGGCCTAAAATGGGAGTCAAAGTCGGCAAAATCGCCAATGCGTAAATATCACTGACACGTCAAAATTTGCGAGAGCATAATTTCGTCGGTTTTCCATCAAATTTCGTACTTTTTGTTTTATTACCTTCAGAAAAAGATTCTCTACCATTTCATAAGAAAAAATAAAAACAATATTCTTTTTTTAAAATTCTTGGACCCTGGTGCACACTTTGAAATTTGGCCTCTGGACCCTGAAAGGGTTAAACTGTCCAAACGTATATCTACGTTCATGTGCGTAGCACTCTGACCTTTATTTTCTCCATTTGAGAGCATGTAAAAAAAAAAAAGTAGATCTACGTTCGGAGCACTACACACGTAAACGTAGATCTATGTTTGAACAGTTTAAGGGTTAACCCCTTCAGGGTCCAAGGCCAAAATCTGAAGTGGTGCTCCAGTGTCCAAGAAATTTTGAAAAAAAAAAAAAATTATTTTTTCTTACAGAATTAACCCTTTGACTGTTTCAGGCCCCTCTCTGAAACTGTCATTCTATGTCGCCAAATATTCGAAAAAAAAAAATTATTTTTTCTTATGAAAATGTTAGGAATATTTTTAGTAGTGTTTTAAGCCTAAAAAAAATTTTTGCCATCAGTATTACCGAGATTAGACCCGCAAAGTTTGCAGAAAGTGCGTGCTTTACGGAAAACAGGGCGACTGCCCCCCCCGGTATTCTTTTATTTACTTTAATTCAAAGGTTTCTTGCATTTTTAAATATTTTTCTTTTCCCAGGAAATTATGGGGCCCTGTGAAAAACCAATGTAAGGTGCATTCTTCAAATTACACTCATTGTTTAAAAACCCCAAAAAACAGAAAAAAACTTATACTTTATTTGTGTATACACTTTGTTTACAAAACAAACAATACAAAAAAAGTTTATTATATTTTTCCCATAATATGTTTTCATATGACAGTCACTAAACCTTTCCCTAGAACTGCTGCAGCTTGTGGCCCTTTTGAAACAGGGGTATATGCAGAGGGGACTTCACACCCCTCAACTTTTAAAACGAGTGTTTGCGTGTTGTGGGGTTTTGGGTATGATAATACATAACCTCTTCGAGATTTTTTTTTGGCGTAGTAGGAGGCAGTTGTATGGGGTTGTGATCACCAGGCCCATACGAGGACGGTGGGCCTGGTCTATTGCGGGATTCCCCTTTTGGTACTTTGCAATTATTTGTTGTTTAGACAGGAAAAAATTTTCCATTTTTTGGTGTTTTATTGGTCTTCAACTTGTATATGTTATAAGCTTTAGCTAGAGTTCAAAAAGAGGGAAAAAAAGTTTTTTTATATACATTTAAAAAATCTTGCTTAACGTCTGAAAACCCCAATTGCATGTCCATTTGCCCATAAGCGTTTTTGGGGTTGTAGTCCGACGCTGCGGCTTTAAAATGGGTTCATTGGTCTCTCTTTTGTGCCTCCACGTGTGCCCTTTTTTTCGTGAATGATGTCAAAAATTGGACCACGTTTGTCATGCCCCCGAAATCCCATGATGCTTTGGGCAAAAGGCTTGCATCACTCTGCGAGTGCCAGCGTCAAAACCTTGGATATGTTTACGATTCCCAGCACTGGGGCCAACAGTTGAAAAGTTCATCGAAAGAAATCACTGAGAAAGGGGCTTGGCCATTTATCAGTAAATAAATTCCCCCTTTCCAAGATAGGGCCCCCCTCATTGTTCGAACCACATCCCAGGGATCCCCAATAACTTCATGGTATCTCTCAAATTTTTCTGCGGTACACAATGATACCAAAACTAGACCATTCTGCAATCCACAGTAAAAATAGCTTTATCCCAAAAGCGTTTTCTTTTGCTTGGTATTATTTTTTGAATGAGAGTCTTCCTTTGAATAAAAAAAAGGACCCCTCAATAACAAGCTTCCGAAGGGATAAAAATACTGCAGCATTTTTTTTGGGACAAAAACACATTTTGATCTTATATAATCTGTGCTTTGTGGCCGGTTTTTGTCTGAAAAAGTGTAACATACGAAACGTTTCGGGAAAACGTTTACCCCAAATTTTGTCCTAAAACCGGAGTTGAAATCAGGCGTTCTTTTGCCGTTGTGGTGGCAGTGTGTTATACACATGTGGCTAAGCATTTTGTGGCAAAAAAAAAGGTACATCTCTGCCACAGTTGTCTCCTTCATTGTGTACCCGTGTTTTTTGGTGAGAGAATTGTATTTGCCAGGGGTTAATCCAGTAGGGTTTTTTTCCCTGCAATGATGTCCATTGAGGTTATCGAAGAAAAACTCAAAGCAGTCCAGTTCATGGCTTTTTTCCCCAAGTGGAAAAGATGGTTTTATTCCCACTTTGTTTTTCATCAAAGTCAGGGGGACTGGGAAAAAACTCGTCACCGTCCGCCAATCCCAGATGCGGTTGTGGTGGGGTCTGGATATTGACCGTGGGGTTGTGGTTTGGGTTGTGGTGGTGCAGGTTGTGGGGTGGGGGGTAGGGTGAGGCGGGTTTTGTTGTGTGAGTCAGCAGCGTGGGTAGTAGCGTGGGGGGCCCGTGAGGTGCCACATGGGGCCTTTGCCCCCCTCACTATCACCCCACTGCCCCTCCCTCACTGGGGCCATTCATCCCCTCGTTACAATATGCCATCTTCACTATCAGGTGTGGGTGTAGGCCATGGGATGTGCCCCCGAGTTTTCCTTCCCTGGAAAAAATATAAAATACTCCCAAACCGCATGCTAGTATACATATTCCCGTTCACTGGGGAATTTCCTCTCACTGCACTAAAAACTGCTTTCAATGACCTTGAAATCACTACCTACCCTGCTTCATCTGGGTTTGTACCGCCCAAAATAGTTTCCTTTTTCGCCCTGGTAAGGCGAAGTAAACGTGAACAAGCCGGCACAGCACCAGGGGGGAAGGGTTTGTGGGTCATCTGGGTTTTCATCATAAAAAAAGTTATCCTGGGATTTTTCCGGTAACACTACTTAAAAACCCGGAATTCACTTCACTGCTTTTGTGTTAGGCTATCATTGGGAAAAAAGACCCCCCCCGGGATGAGGAATTTTCCCGGAAGCATGGTAAAAATGGACTAAAACATGGCGTTCCCACAATGCACCGCTGGGCCCCAGTTTTTTTTCACAGGGTGACCCCCGACCAGGCCCCTTTCTCTCTGTGTACCCCTTTGGCGCTTGATTTGAAGCCGCTAAAAATTTGTGCATATAAAACGTTTACCTTTTTTTACCTTTAGAGAGTTGGGGTCAACGCCCCCGGGCCCGGTCTGTGACCATTGGCTTTTTAAGACGTTTTTATACGCGGAAACAGAAAAAGGGGTTTTTAAAGAGCATATTTTTGGAAGGTAATAAGACAAAAAAAAAAAAAAATTTGTCGTACTTACCGGATACGTGCCAAGAAATT